TCATCCTTGACTGACCTGCGAACCTCCACACCAAGGTACGTGGATAACTCACCCAGATCCTTCATCTGGTACCTCTGAGGAAGCACCTCTTTGATCACATACACCAGTACAAGCACAGGCTCTCCATCCACATACTTGATGTACAAAGCCTCATCGCATGCACTGCGGTGAAACCCTGCTGCAATCAAGGTGGTACCAATCTCCTTATTCCATGCACGAGGCGCTTGCTTGAGCCCATAGAGAGCTTTGCGCAAGCAATACACTCTATTTGTACCATCATCAAATCCTTCAGGCTGCCTCTCATACACCTCCTCCTGAAGAACTGCATTAAGGTCAGCATGATCAACATCCTCCTGATGTACATGCCACCCTTTTACCGCGGCTTGTGCAAAAAGCACCCAACCTGAGGTGAGCTTGCCCACAGGGGCAAATACCTTATCAAACTCCTTCTCTAGCTCCTGAGTGTACCCCTTAGCAATGAGGCGAATCTTGTGCTGTACCACCTTATTCTCCTTGTCAGTCTTCCTATGGAAAACATACTTGACCCCAATGGCCTTCTTATCTGGAGGTAAGCTCTCATACACCCATGGTGCGCATGGCATTTACCTCCTTCTTAGTGCCTGCCTTCCATGCAGGGCCCTCAGGGCTGCGCAGTGCCTCGGCAAGCGTGCATGGGACACCACTGGTACTCACACCTGCTAGTGCAACACCTTCCACCTCCCTGGCCAAGCACATCATGCCTTCAACCACAACAGCCTCCCCCCCTACCTCCTCACCCCACATGTACCAGACCAGATAGCAAGCACCTGCAACCTTGTATCTGGTGGTCGGGAGGTAGTCGCTGGTGACAAAGATGCACTTGCAGAGAGACTGTCATGATGCTGACAAGAGGAGGAGGAAGAGGAAAAAGCCTGGGTAGCAGATCTCCGCTGAATGATCAAGAGGCCATTGAGCTGATGGAGAGGGGCGGGCTGCTGCAGCACCGACACACTCAGTGGTGTTGGTGGTGGTGATGAATGTGGCATGTCACCATCATCAACTAGTGCTAAGGGTGGTGAGAGTGGAAGGGGGAGGAGCTGGAAAATCTCAGTTGCATCCTGCAGAAGCTCCCCAAAGCCCTTGGCCTTGTCCCACATCACATTCTCGAGCAATGCAAATGCGCATAAGAGAAGGGTCTAGCATGTGCCAACCCTTGCTCTCCATGTCCACCCCAACACATACACACACGATGGCGCGTGCATCAAGCTTGCCACCCTTTTCATGCCCATGCAACATGATACTCCCCATGCAACCCCAAATCCGAGCCATGCCCACATGCGGCTTCTAGCCAGAGCATGCCTCCATTGAGGTGACGGAGGGAGGCAAAGCACTATGGGTGACCCGGTTCTTAACCCACACGACCCACATCAATGCTTCACCCCACAAGCGAGCAGAGAGAACACTGTCGACCAGCAATGTGCAAATCCCCTCTGCCATCGTCCTGTGCCACCTCCCCACCACCCCATTCTGCTGCGGTATATCTGCGATGCTCAATTGAGTTTTGATGCCAAGCTCAGCCTTCCATGATTTTACAGCTCCCCCCAAGAACTCGCCATCCCTATCTGAGCAAATAGCCTTCAACTTCCGCCCACACTCCAACTCCATGTCGTTATGCCACTGGCACAGAACTTCTGCGACTGTGGCTGATTCCTTGTTGGGGAGTGGGAACGACCGAAACTCGTTTGCTAAAGTTGTCAACGAGGCTCAAGACATACACCGCTTCTCCCAGTGACGGTGTGTGCACTGGTCCCCTGTGGACCTCATCCATAGGCCCAAGTGCCCGAGACGCCTCATAAGGAAACGGCTTTCGAGCCGACTTTCCCAATAAGCAAGGATCACCTAGAGAGCAATTAGTGCTCCCTCCCCCAATCTCCAAGCCAAGTACAATGTTCCCCCAAGCCATCTGTTGCAGTGTTGCTGGGGCAGTATGACCAAGGCGGCGATGAGCAAGGGTCAATGGAGAAACTGAGGAGGAGGATCCAGCTGCAAGAGCACTACTCTGTGTGCCCCGAGCAAGAGGAAGAGACATCCGCACCAATCCATGGTCCCTTCGCCCCTCCTTTTCTCAAATCGCCAACACCCTCTCCTCCCGTTTGATAACACATCCCTTGCCTCCGAATGTGACAATGACATCCGGAGAGGTGAGGTGTGGGACTGACAGCAGACGCATCTGCATCTTAGGCACAAGGTGTACCTTTTGAATCCTTAGCAGCTGGCCTGTAGCATCAACCACTAGCACTTCACCCATGCCAACAGCTTTCACCACCCGTCCATCTCCCAAGCTAACTCCTCGAATCTCAGGTAGCTCAAGCTTACTCTTGAAGTTGATGCATAAGGAGTAAAGTTGTGGCTGGCCCCACCGTAAATCCACCACCCCTCTCGCGGCTGCTCCCCTTCTACTGCTGAAACTGCCTCTCCAACAGCTACATCTACCTTGTCATCCTTCTCCTCCTAATCTGCCACTTGTGCCTTGCCGTTGGACTCACGACCCCCCCACTGTCAGAAATTCGGAATGCCTCCCTCCTATAGGTCGGTGAGGACATCGCTGCCATGCACGTCCCTCATCCCAACAGCCATGACACAACCCCCTAGGAGCCATACCCTTGGACCCCCAAGGGAAAGCAAGCACTCATGTTTTGTCTTTCCCATGACCCCATCTGCTCGAGTTGGTGCCGCTGCTGCTACCGCTGCCTCCATGCTTTCCTCCCTTGTCCCAATTTCCCCTGCCGCTGCTGCCCACTTTCGTACCCGCTCCAAAAGTGGCTACACCATCCGATCTTGGTGCGACAGCAATCCACATCTCCTCGCTCTTCAGAGAGGTAAACAACTGATCCTTAGTGAGCGATGATGATTGGTTGTTCAGCACCACCTTCAGCATCTTGAAGTGAGGAGGTAGTCCTTTGAGTACCCTCATCATCCACTCCTCAACCTCCTCCTTCCCTCCTACAGCCAAGTACTTGGACCTCAAGTCCTCGGCACGCGCCCAGTATGCAGCCACACCCCCCCCCCCCCCCCCCCTCTTTCATCTTCGAGGAAGTGAGCTCCTCAGAGAGTGTCATACGATTACACAATCCACGCTGAAGGTATAACTCCTTCACTCGTGTGTATGCCGCTGCCGTGCCTGCAGGAACTCGGGTGACTGCTCTTGCTCCGCCATCAATACAGGTGCATTGCCCAACTCAGTCTTGCCGCCGAACTCCCGTACCAAGGAAATCAGCTCATCCAGCACCAAGGCATTGCAGAATTGGGCAAATGCCTTCTGATTTTTCCTCTCCCACTTCACCCGTGCGTCACCCGATGCAGGCCGCTCCTCCGAACCATCAAAGTACCCCCATAGATCGTGCGCCTCTACCCATCGTTCAAATCGGAAACTCCAAATCCAATAGTCGCTCCTGTCAAAATTTGACATACTCTCTAGCTTCCGTTAAGAAGATTGCGGCAGAGGCATTGAAGATTGACGCTGAGGTGGTTGTGGAGGCAACGGCGGCGGCGGTGAAGACGATATGGGCAGATTCATCCTCTCTTGGTTTTTTTAGAGTAACTACGCGCTCGAACCTTCGAATGATGAGCTGTTTAATTCAAATGAATCTTCGCTTCGAAACCGTTCCAATGGTGTATCACGTTCCTGGATCCCATGTCCAAGCTGTCCGATTAAACTCGTCCAAAAACTCAACCTTTTCTCCTGTGTTTTGGCTTCTTGGATGCCCCCTAGCCTCCGCTCATGGCGTCCGCCCTCTAATCATTTTTCCGTGCTTTAGATTTTCTCCGATTCTCAATTTTCAAATTCGTCCGCTGATTGTATTTCTCTCGTTGTGTCCGATCCGCTCGTTAATTTGTGACGACCCTGCGGCAACTGTTCTAGATCGTGTCGAATGTTTTCCAACGATGTGTTGCACGCCTTGATCTGCCAACGTTGACTGAGCCTCTCCGTGAATGGATGCCGCGCCTCTCGTCCTCCCGAACGGATCCACATGATTTCCAACGGATTTCTTCTCTCTTCTTCCCCTCCCACGTTCAGAGTCTGCCACGGTGCAATTTCGGCAGCCCTTCGGGAGGGACTGAAGCTATTTAGCTTCCACCAAGGTAATATGGTCCAATTCCTTGAGTAGCTCCTATTCCAACAGATTGCTAGGCCTTCCTGGCTCTGATACTATGCTAGAATGGTCTAAACTACGGAAGATACTGTCTTAGAACCTTCTCTTGAAGCCTAGAAATCTTACGAGCCAACTTGGGCATGAACCATGCTAGAGCCAAAGGGATTCCAAAGAAGTGAAGTTCGAACAAGAGAGAACCATAACCTATAGGGTTTTGGAGATGGTCCACTCTGAGTGCACACCACAAGTTTTTCCAACCTAACCAATGTATTCTACACTACTATATTGTAGATCTAGCACTGCATATGTTTCTTGGAGCAACCGGAATTAACCAAAATTCCAACATGTCAAACTGTATATATATATGGTATATATATATATATATATATCTGTTTGTGTGTGTATGTATGTGTGTATGTGTGTGCGTGCGTACGTGCGTGCGTGCATGGGCTGGTGCGCGCAGCGTGAATGCGCGTGTGTGAAGCTGTACTGAGGCAGACAGTAGAAAGGATAGTACTTCTAGGGTTTGTACTTGTCTCTCACTCTCTTAATTACATCATTTCGCTCGTACCTTGAGATCTTAGTACTATGAATCAATCAATAATGGCAAAGAGGAGTTCTGAAAAATCACGATCGGTGGCCAAAGAATTTTGAGACTATTCAGACAAAAACATGAGAACACAACACACCCCTACAACTCCCAGCAAGCAGCGACGAATAGTACCCCAATCCCCAGTCTCAAGAACAGGACCACAGTGGACAATGAAACAGCACTCGTCTCATTCACTCGCCTCTCACCCCGCACTCCATGTTTTTCCTCCATGCCCCAACCGCGTCCCCAACCCCTTGCTCTTGCTCTCCTGCCCTCTATCTCCCCTCCCCTCTTGCTGCCCGTAGCAATTGTATCTCTCGTCGGACTTCACGCACCACCTCCCAAACCTCTGCTCGTTCCCTCTCAGCCTCCTCCCGAACCTTCCCCACCTGCATCAAAACCTGCTCCCATGCTCCTCGCCCGGCCTCTTCCTGACCATCGCTTGGCTGGTCCGGGAGGAGGTCCTGACTGGGTGCTTGTGCCAACTGGATGCGATGGGAGCTCTGAAGCTTGCTGCTGAGCTGCTCGCGAAGTTGGTCGAAGCCACGGGCCACGTCGGCCTGCAGCGCCTCCACGTGGCGCTGCATGGCCAGCAGGTCGCCCTCCTTTGCCGCCTCGCCTCCCTCCGTGGCTTCGGCAGGCGGCGCGCTCTCCCCCAGCTCCGACAGCAGCACCGCCCCCAGCGCTGCCACGTCCATGGGGTCCTCCTCCTGCTCGTCGGGGAGAGAGCGCCGCTGCAGGGGCGGATGGGATGGGATGGCATGGGAGAGAAAGGCATGAAGTGTGAGCAGCACTCCCCCGCCTCCCTCAGCGTTTGCAGGTCTGAGGAGTGCTGGTGGTGGGAATGAGACTGATTGGAGACACAGGAGCAGGTGGAAAGATGCATGGGAAAGATGAAGATCGTGCGGGACTGCTGACTGCATGTTACGAGCATCTCCAGCGGGTGTGCATGAAATGCTCATCCCATCCCTTGGCATGCATGCAGTGCCCCCATCTCACCATGCGGGCGTGTGCACGGCGCAGGATGGAAGAGAGCGAGTGGGCGTTGAGCTGCCTCTCCCCCACCACCACCACAGTCTCCCGCTCATCCAGCGTTTTCAGCCGCCAGAAGCTCCGCCGCCTCTGCACTGCCGGCTTTACCATGCTGCCACCCATGGTGGCAGGATCAGCAACTATCGTGCAAGCATCAGCAGCAGTGGTGGAAGCATGGGCGGCCAGCTGAGTGTTGGTGCTGCTGGCTGCCTGGGACTTGGCGACCCCACCACTCGCCAACAACCCCTTGGTGCTCTCTCCCCGGATTAAACCAGTCTCTTCTGCTCCCACCATGGCTAGCACTTGTTGCTGCGCATCAAAATGGGCCTGTGCTTGCAAGGCATTGTAAGGAACACCTTCCGTCGCACCACCCCCCCTCTTCTCCTCTTCTTTCTCCTCCCTTCCCTCCTCTGCTCCAATTCTCCCCAGTTCGCCATCACTGTCAGCATCCTCCCACCTTTCTCCATCAGTATCACGCCTGCTGCCTCTCACCTCCCTGCTGCACTGAAAGCTCGAGGAGAGGCATTGCTGACCAGACTGCCCAAGGCTTTTCTGCAGAGTGGCGGACAATGGGACAATGGGAAGGGATGGAAAGCGGTTCCGTAAGAGGGCAGAGGCAGTGGGACGCCGAGCAGGAAAGAACGCAGGAAAGCTTTGGCCAGAGGTCAGCCTCCTGCATGGCAGACTATGGTGTAGAGCTTGAAGGATGAATTGATTGAATAAGGTTGAACACATCGAACTCGTAGTGGCTCGACTGGGGCTCAGGCCATGCAGGTCATGCAGGTCAGAAATTGGACTATCAAGCTCATAAAGCACTCCACACTCTCCCAGCACCTGCATTCCCATGCTCACATGACCGCTCACCTCCCTGCCCGCTCACCTCCCTGCCCACTCACCTCCCTGGCCGGGCCGCTCACCTCCATGACCGCATTGGCGGTGTTCTCTGCTCCGAGGCGAATGAGGTGGCGCAGCAGGCGGCTGTACCTTGTGTACGGCGATGCCACGCGGCGGAAGAAGCGCACCACAATCAAGTACATATCCTGGTAGATTGCCGGTGCTTTGTCCGATGACTCCTGCCAACCGTGCAGGTCGGTCAGCAGACAAGGGCGAGAGGGAGCGAGGGAGGGAGGGAGGGAGGGAGGGTGGGAGGGAGGGAGGGTAAAGAGCACAAAGAATCAGGTAATGACAATGACGAACCACAATATCATTTCCGTTGATTTGTATAGACCCCACTTGACCTGCAATAGATCCATTGACTCAAGTTGACAACTGTTGACTTGCACTCACCGTCATTGACTTGTTCCAACCTGTTGACCTGTGCTGACTCACCTTGACTGCAGTTGACCAGCGTTGACTCACCTTGACTGCTGTTGACCAGCATTGTGTCACCTTGACTGCAGTTGACCGGCATCGACTCACCTTGACTGCTGTTGACCGGCGTTGACTGACCTCGACTGCTGTTGACCTTTGTTGACTGACCTTGACGGCCATGACTGCTGCTGACCAGCATTGACTCACCTTGTTTGCTGTTGACCAGCATTGACTCACCTTGACTGCTGTTGACCTTTGTTGACTGACCTTGATGGCCATGAAGGCATCCACGATGATGGCGATGAGGAAGTTGAAGAGGATGAAGCAGAAGATGATGACGAAGGAGAACCAGAACACCATGGCCGCCGCGTACTGCCACCCCACCATCTGCTGGAACCACGACACGTAGAACTGCCCCACGATCATGTAGAAGCAGGTCTGCAGGGACAACCACAGCGTGCTGAACTGCACTTGGGGGAAAAGAGGGCAGTGAAGGAAAAAAATCACACGTATGCAAACCTGCATTCGTAGACACTCTGGAGAATCTTACGCTGATTAGGAAAGTGACCCCATTTTAGGCAAGCAGCATTGTGAACATAAGAATTCGACCAAGCTTCTGTCCAAGCACGCACGCAATTCAGAAAATTGGGCTTACTACCGACAATCCTGCTCTTTTCTCTCTGCGTAACATGTTTGCATCCAGCACTGATTGCCTCTTGGTACGCATTCCACATTGTCACACCATCCACGTGGCTTGAACAAAGTGACGAGGTTACTAGAACTCGCCTCATTACTGGCGGCATCCCGCCAAATTGTTTCCACCTATTGTCAGACTCGTTACTCGTCAGTGTAGATGAGCTTTTTAACCACTCGGCTGGGTAGAACTTGCCAGCAACCGGCATAGACGTTGGTGGCAGTAACGACGTAGCACATCAACCTGCAGCAGCCTTGAAACCCCGGTAACCCGCATCATTCTGCATCCAAGGGCTGCGGCCCTTGGCTGCAGCGCCGGCCATTACCGCCTCTCTCCTCCCCCTCCCACCTTGTCATGCATGGCTGCGGCCATGTTCTTCACGGCCTGTTCTAGCTCCATGGACACAGCCACGAACTTAAAGCACCGTTGCTTTGCACCGGAGAGTCTGTGTTCAGTGAAAACCTGCTTAGGGAACCTAAAGGACTAACCTATGCCTGGCGGATCTCACAAGAAAAATATCCGCCAAAATGAGATTTCGGATTTTAGCTCCACTGCAAATACACTTGGACAAGATGACACATTTATTACTTACAAGGCAAAACTTCTATTGCCTGGAAGTTACCGAAGAAGACTGATAGGATTTTTCTAGTCTCGGTAATAATTTGTTGAGTGTTTGTAACACTTGTCTAGTTTATATCCAGAGTAAGATCGAACCTTGCAACCTCTATACTGCTAGCCCATGATATTGCAAGCATGATTTACCTCACTAAGATTCTAGACTTCCACGGTCACTGCGAGCAGAACGACGTGCACCAAATCTTCCCTCGTGAGCTGCATTGTCGCTTCCTCCGTCTTCAGGAGGTCAACCTTGCCGATAACTCTACAAGAGCCCTCCTTCGCCACCCAACCATGCCTACGTGGCGCACTTGGCCTCACCTCCCCAGTTCCGGGGTGTTTTGCGAGGTGCTCCTCTTCAAAGCTTCACCTAGCCAGGGGAAGAGCTAATGTAGGCTTGATTATGCTCTGTATTTCGTACTAGCCTTACATTATTATTCGGCCAATTTAAGACTTAACCCCATCTCAGGTTACGGTTCATTCTGTGGTTCGTTTCTTCAAATGAAAATGGACAAGGTTTAGTTGGAGTTTCACCCAACCAAATATATTTCTTAATGCTCTCACCTAACTCATGCAACCTTTTCACCTCGCCATCCATGGCTCCTCGTAGGCATGAGCACAGTACCGAACCGAACAGGTTAGGAACTGCACTGGTTTGTAATCGGACCGGATTAGCCAAAAGCAGTCTCGTGGTTAATCATAGTACAGTAACTGGATCGCTACAATGAAACCAAACTGATTCGTGTCAGCACGGTTCTAGGCCAGACCTACACGTCTCCAAACGGCTAGCTAGCTCAACCCAAACCCTAATGTCACTCCTAGCTTGCAGCGAGTAGACAGAACGACCCACTCCATCCGCGTTTTCCTTAGCGTGCCTTTTCATGTTTAAGGAAGTGTGTCATAGTTGTAAGCTAAGGACCTTAGACAGATATGACGCCATTGTCTCAATCATCCAGAGTAAAGCTTTTTGTAACTTATGGTTCGACTCGAACAGGGTATGGTTCAAGTCGAGTAGTTCAGTATTGCTTGTTATTGAGGTGCCTCTTGGCTTCGACGTGATTTTGTTTCGCGCAGAACTCATATCGCATCGCGTGGGTTTTCTTGGAATGAAAAACTAAGGGAGTCGTCACTCAATCAATTCCAAGCCTCATCTCCTGACTAGCCGACTCTGCTTATGCATAGGTGCACACGTCCTCCCCAACCCACCCCCACACAGGATTCTGTCAAGATACAGGGAAAGAAATAAAGCAACTAGAAAAACCATGCAATAAAATGAGTTGCACATTTGAGCTGAACAGAAGCATGCATAGCACGCAGCACACACCTGCTCCAAGGTCATCCCGAACACCAGGTAGCCGTAGATGGCATATGCCACGAAGACAACGAAGAAGAGAATGAAGAAGTGGAGGAGAGACGGCATGGCGACTCGGAGGGAGCGAGTCATGATGCCCATGTTGGGCTGAAAGTCCATCAGCTTCAAGAGGCGCAGCACCATGATGAACACACTGGCGGGGTCGGATGGTGACAAGAAAGATGGGGAAAGATAAGCAAGAGATGAGACACATGGGAGACGGCTTTTGTGCTCATGACCTGAGGGACACAGGGAAAGCGTTCTAGAGAACAACAGAGGCAGTATGGAAGATAGAGGACAGGGGGGTGAGGGAAGAATTGAAACAAGGACGAGAAAGGAGAGAGGTCAGAGCGCAAAGAGTGGGGGAAATGGGGAGAAGCGGGGAAGGGGAGAAAAGGCACAGGTGGAGTGCGACATAAGGTGAGGAGAGGGGAGGAGGGAAGAGAGGGGAGAGACAGAACAGACGGGACGGATGAGGAAGAGAAGAGAGAGAGGCTCGAGGCTTGAGAAACAGGATGACCTGGCCCAACGCGTGGGTCAGGATGTCACGTGCCTGGGCTTGGACTGGGTCGAGCAGTTGGCATATCCCGACCCGAGAGCTGGGTTAGGTCGGGTCTGGTTGAACCCACAGAGCACCAACCTGAACCCAGCTGACACCCCAGGTTGGGCCGATTCAACCCGACCCAATATGACCCGTCGCTGATGTTGTGATGCAGAGGTATGATAGAGGAGAGAGTACAACTCACTTGATGCCCTGAAGGGCAAAGTAGACGGCGCAGAGGTTGGTGACGAAGCCAAGCGTGTCCACTGCTGACATGGCGGCCTGATAGCCCACGGGTGGGTTGGGCAGCGACCAGTAGCGCGGGTTGTCGTCGAGCGTGTAGTAGATGTCGTAGTGAGGCTGGATGGTGAACCCCTGTGCTCGCGTCACCGCCACTGATATCCTGTACGTGCCATGGCAGCAAGTGCGAGAAACTGACATAGGCTTTTCACTCCTCTACCGTCGTGAGCAGGAGGTGACTGAACCACCACAATCAATCCACTCTCACCTCTTGCTTTTTTCCCATGCCTGATCATCCCATGCCCCGCCACCCCATGGCTGGTCGTCACCCCATGCCTTGCCCACACCATGCATCACCAACCCATGCAGACTTGGGAGGGCTGACTTCATGCAACAGGACTCGCCATTGAAATGAAGATGAAGGTGGTTGGCGTGTGCCGTATGCCTGTCAGACAGCACCCAAATGCACTCCTCCAATGAAAGCATCACACAAATGATCCACCACACGAATGATCCACCACACTCAATCCCCACCTCACCACTTCAACTTGCCCTGTCACCCCATGTCTCTTCACCACCATGCCTCTTCAACCCATGCGTGGGCACCCCAAGGATGCTGACCAGATGGCGATGGCGGTGATCTGGAGGGCGATGGAGAGCCAGTCCACCCAGTTCCAGCCCTTGCTTGCGTAGTGCCAGAAGGAGCGGCGCTGCACCTTCCACGTCCACAGCATCTCCTTCACCTCCTCCACGATGCTCCACGCCACCGCGGCCACAAAGAGCAGCTCGACCACGAGGCGCAGCACGTTGCTGCTCTCATTCATGTTGTAGTACTCCACGTTCACCGGCTGCACTTGGAATGACGCCTCCATGCTGCCGCCCGACTGCACCGTCAGGGTGGCCTTGGTGGCCGTGAATAGATGCTCGTTGGCTGCCCGGCAAAGGGGGGCGGGGGGGTGGGGGGGAACAAAGAGGGTGAGTGCACATGCAGACAAGAGAGGGAAGCTCACACAGGCTGAAAGCCAGTCAACAAGGTGAATACACAGGCACACAGAGTTCACAGTACCATTGCGGGTTATGCGAGGCAAATTACCATTGCGGGTGATGAGGCCAACGTGGATGGTGCGGGTGTAGTTGTCGATGAAGAAGCCGTCCACCAAGTACTGCAGCCGCCGCGTTGCCCCCGCGTTGTCCAGATTCACGTCAAACACGATCGGGAAGCGCCCGCTGCCGGGCTGTGGACACGGTGGGGGTTGGGTTGCGAGTGCAAGGGAGTGCAAGGGAGTGCAAGGGAGTGTAGAGAGCAAGAGAGGCATCTTTTGCACTGACTGACTGCACAGGCACATCAAGGTTCATACGTCTCAATCAGGATCGACTCAACGCATCAGCAGCATGGATGGAGCCTGAATCGGCCCACAATGGGCCATGAGGAGAGTGAAGTACCAAAGGAAGGAAGGGGTCTGGACTGGAGGGGGAGGTGGTGCGCATGGGTGAAGGCGAGGTGGGACTCACGAGCTGCTGGAAGCCGAAGGGCAGCCCCTTGGCGTTGAGCTCAAAGGGGTTGGCGAAGGGCTGGTTGGTGAAGGCAGTGGTGTTGCTGACGGCGACATTGGGGTTGTAGAGCGACGAGGACGGCAGGAACACCGGGTTCACCCCAAACGCCCTCGACGACTCCCCCCCCACACATGCGTCCTGGAAGTGGAACCTGCCACGCCGGGTGAGGCAGGGGGGAGCGGCGGATGAGAGGGGAGGAATGAGAGGAATGGTGAATGTGGGTATGTACACAAGCTGTGTGAGAGGGGCCTGATTCAAAAGGTGCAGGGGGCTGGAGAACCTGCAGGAGGCAGGAGAGGACTGGTGGACGTGGGCTGGCATGCACACAAGCAGCGTGAGAGGGTTTGACAGAAAAGGTGCATGGGGCTGGAGAACCTGCATACGGTCAGGTCAGATGCTCTTGACTGTTGATGATTGGTTTGGGGTCGGGAGGGAGACTAACCTGCTGTTACCACAGCGGTCAGAGTTCCAGCGGTACTGCACAATGACCAGCCCCACCAGCACACTGCGGGATGCAACACACGCGAGCCACGCCCATTGCATGCATGCACGGGAACACAGCGCATGGTGCAATGAGTGAGAAAGGAGCAAGTTGATAGGGCACAGTGGTATTGGTGGCGAAGTGAGTTCCAGAAAGGCAACATGGGATGATGGAAGCAACAACATCATCAGAACCGAACAAAGGACGGACACATAGGTGAGTGTTGAAAGGCTCGGGCTCCATGGGGAAGCATCGAACCCAGGTAGGGCTGGCTCGGCCCAAACCTGATCGGCCGGCCCGGGTACTCTGTTGTGACACGTCCGGCAAATTTGGGCCAGCCGAAAGCCCGGCGAAACCTGTTGATAAGAGAAAACCTGCTCAGAGGGGAGCAAACCTGTTGTACTGGGAGACAGTGCGGCACCTGTTGTACTGGGAGACAGTGCGGCACCTGTTGTACTGGGAGACAGTGCGGCACCTGTTGTACTGGGAGACAGTGCGGCACCTGTTGTACTGGGAGACAGTGCGGCACCTGTTGTACTGGGAGACAGTGCGGCACCTGTTGTACTGGGAGACAGTGCGGCACCTGTTGTACTGGGAGACAGTGTGGCACCTGTTGTACGGGGAGACAGTGCGGCACCTGTTGTACTGGGAGACAGTGCGGCACCTGTTGTACTGGGAGACAGTGCGGCACCTGTTGTACTGGGAGACAGTGCGGCACCTGTTGTACTGGGAGACAGTGTGGCACCTGTTGTACGGGGAGACAGTGCAGCACCTGTTGTACTGGGAGACAGTGCGGCACCTGTTGTACTGGGAGACAGTGCGGCACCTGTTGTACTGGGAGACAGTGCGGCACCTGTTGTACTGGGAGACAGTGCGGCACCTGTTGTACTGGGAGACAGTGCGGCACCTGTTGTACTGGGAGACAGTGCGGCACCTGTTGCACTGGGAGACAGTGCGGCACCTGTTGTACTGGGAGACAGTGCGCGGCAGCAGAGAGGCGTTGGTGGCGGGAGTGGCGTCGAGGGGATGCACGGTGGAGCCAAAGCGGCGCAGCCTGAAGGGCACCTTGATGCCCTCTCCCACTCCCGCCGCCTCACAGCACGCTGTGGAGCAAGCGGGAGAAGGTCGAGAGAATTCGGGGGAGAAGGGGGGGGGGGGGGGGGGGGGGGCGTGAAGGGGGAGGAGAATGGGGGAGGTTGGGGAAGCAGACGTTGCACGGAAGCACACATTGCATGACCCAGATCCCCCCGGTGGGTGGCGCACAGCACAAGTGGAGGGAGCAGAGGGGGAGCAGAGGGGGACGACGGGGAGGAGGGAGAACAGCGGGAGAAGAAAACACACGTTGCAAGAAAACACAGATTACATGAAAGCACACATTGCATGAAAGCACACATTGCATGGAAACAGATCCGCAACACCCACCCAGGCTTCAGCGTAAAGGTAGCATGTCTAGAGGCTAGAGGGACACGCAGATATCTGTGATGAGACTGAATGCATCTTCCTGCTTACCACCATCAACCCCGCGTGTTTGCAACACCGAGCATTCACACCACTGCACATCGGCTCCAGCGCTTCCACTGCTGCTGCCGCCAGCAGCGCCGGCAGTGGCGCAGGCACAGTCGCCCCCATCGAAGTCACAGGTAGCCACGTTGCATGCGGGGTCGCAGCGGCCATTGGCCAGCATGGCCAGCGCACACGCGGGCGCACAGCGCGTGGCCAGCAGCTGCTCGTACGGCCGCAGAGACGTGGCTGGTGGCGGCTCTGCTGGGGGGCAGGCGGGTGGGCAGGGCGAGGGCAGTGCATGGAGACAGGCGAGAGGATGGGTGAGAGAGTGCCACGTTGCAGGGATGGTTGCAATGAGCATCGCAGAGCAGAGGGCCATGGCAGAGGGCCATGGCAGAAGGCGAGATGGCAGAGGGCGAGATGGCAGAGGGCGATGGCAGAGGGCGATGGCAGAAGGCGAGATGGCAGAGCGCATGCAGAGGGAGGGGAGAGCGATGGTGAGGTGAGGCAGCTTGAAGGACGGATGGCCCGTGCATGCATGTGTGTGTGTGCGAGTGATTGTCACGTGGCAGTGCCACTGGTGCCTGGAATGGCCGCGCATGGGTTGGGGTTGGCACATGGTGGGGGGTGGAACATGGTGGGGGGTGGAACATGGTGGGGGGTGGAACATGGTGGGGGGTGGAACATGGTGGGGGGTGGCACATGGTGGGGGGTGGAACATGGGTGGGGGATGGAACATGGTGGGGGGTGGAACATGGGTGGGGGGTGGAACATGGTGGGGGGTGGAACATGGTGGGGGGTGGAACATGGTGGGGGGTGGCACATCGTGGGGGGTGGAACGTGGTGGGGGGTGGAACATGGTGGGGGGTGGAACATGGGTGGGCGTGGGGGGTGGCACATGGGCGAGGGGTGGCACTGCCTTGCAGGGATGGGCTGACCTGGCTGGGGGGTGGCACCCTGGCTGGGGGATGGGCGCACCTGGGTGGGGGGTGGCGCGGAGGAGAGTGGAGGCGAGCGACTGCGGCGAGTCCTTGACGGTCATGTCCTGCGCCGTGCCAAACACCTTGGTGTACGTGAAATGCGCCCCTGCCTTGTCGCCAGGCGACCCTGTGGGCAGGAGGGTGTGGAGTATGAGGAGTGTGAGGAGCGTGAGGAGCGTGAGGAGCGTGAGGAGCGTGAGGAGCGTGAGGAGCGTGAGGAGCGTGAGGAGCGTGAGGAGCGTGAGGAGCGTGAGGAGCGTGAGGAGCGTGTGCACCCTGTGAGAAAGCTTACCTCTTCGAATCAGAGCACACATTTCACATATGCTTCTTACCACTCCTTCCATGCCACGTCATCGCTACAATGTACTCACGCAGCACGCATGGCGCAGGCTCATCCGTCGCATCTCTGGGCCCGATGTTGTCCCATGCACACGTGGCAAGCCGTGATAGGCCGAGCCTCCCTGCTCCAAACCCAAGAAACGGCTCTGAGCTCACCGGCCCTGCAGTGGAGGAGTGCAGAGGGGAGCAGTGGAGGAGTGCAGAGGGGAGCAGTGGAGGAGTGCAGAGGGGAGCAGTGGAGGAGTGCAGGAGGGAGCAGTGAAGGAGTGCAGGAGGGAGCAGTGAAGGAGTGCAGGAGGGAGTAGTGAAGGAGTGCAGAGGGGAGCAGTGGAGGAGTGCAGGAGGGAGCAGTGAAGGAGTGCAGGAGGGAGCAGTGAAGGAGTGCAGGAGGGAGTAGTGAAGGAGTGCAGAGGGGAGCAGTGGAGGAGTGCAGGAGGGAGCAGTGAAGGAGTGCAGAGGGGAGCAGTGGAGGAGTGCAGGAGGGAGCAGTGAAGGAGTGCAGGAGGGAGCAGTGGAGGAGTGCAGGAGGGAGCAGTGGAGGAGTGCAGGAGGGAGCAGTGGAGGAGTGCAGGAGGGAGCAGCCCGAGAATTCAGGGAGGAAACAAGCAGATGGGATCGATGAGGAACAGCTGAGCCTCCCATGGTTTCGCTGCAGCAATCAGGTGCCTCATGGCATGCTGGTGCCTCACACAAGTCGATGGGCATGAGCATCAAGTAACGACTGACTGGGAAACCACGACCCAAGTAAGGCTATCGTTTTCACATGGCTGGCTTGTCACGAGCCAGGGAGGCTTGTGGCTCGTTTGTAACCTTGCCACTGTTGGAAGCCCACATAGACGCGGATTCCCATCAAAGAGCCAACGAGATATGATGCCGGAATTTGACTTGAGCAATTCAGCGATTCACATAGCGCCACAACCGTGGCAGGGTGTGAAGGCAAGGCAGGTCGGGTGGGCGCATCAAGCATGACATCCACGAGCCACCCGCCGCGGGTTGCCACTCACCTCATGTGGCCCGCTCGTGCTCACCTCATTACTACCCCGCAATCCTTCACCTCTCTACAGGCGCACCTCTGAGCTCGCTACAGGCGCACCTCTGAGCTCGCTACAGGCGCACCTCTGAGCTCGCTACAGGCGCACCTCTGAGCTCGTGGTAATTGTCGTCATTCCACACCCACGTGACCCTCTGGCCGTCCGCAATGGCCCGGCGGGCGAAGGAGGTTGAGTCCCACAGCACTGTGAAGTCGGCTGTGGGGGGAAAGGGGAGGAAAGAGAGAGGGAGGTTCAGGAATGGAGGGAAAGAGGGAAGAGAAGAGGGGAAGCAATAGGGGGTGGGAACAAATTGAAGCGAAGTGAGTGAGTGAGTGGGGCAATGGAGAGGGTTGCCCATTGGCAGCAGAGGGTTGTCCATTGGCAGCAGAGGGTTGTCCATTGGCAGCAGAGGGTTGTCCATTGGCAGCAGAGCCAGCAGAACACGAGAGCTGAGCGACGTGAATGGGGCGAGTAAGCACGCAAAGGGCACCTTGGGGGCAGGAAGAAGCATTGGAGACGACTGCATCGTCATAGGCATGCAGCAGGCGAGTGGCAGCTTGGACGGCATCATCTGGCATCTTCTGCACGACTGACTGCAGCGCCATGATGAGGATTTGGATGAAGAGAGACTGCTGGGCGGCAGAGAAGCGCCGAGATGGACTGCGCAGGGGGTTCAGGGGTGGGATGAGCAGGGGTGGGATGAGCAGGGGTCCAGGGGATTGGGGACAATGGCGACAACAGATGACGATGAGTGGAAGGAGGCGAGGTAGCGGAGGAGGGGGAAAGGTGGAAAATGGGGAGAGTGGGCGTGAGAGGATAGAAAAGCAAACTGGGTGGCCTTCTAAGCTGGAGAAGAAGTGGGATCTAGCCTAGAGGGAGCAACCACGAGCCTTCTCAGTCCCCCTCTCAGCCCCCCTATGAGCTCACCATCTCGGCCCCCTTTTCACCCCCTCTGTGAGCATCCAGTCAGCCCCCTCCCTCCCATCTCTTCTCCCAGCCCCCCTCTCAGCCCCCCCTGTGAGCCCCGTACGTGCGGTGAGTCGCTCGAATGTATTCCAAGAGCTCTGCTTGATCCTTCAACTGCCGCCCAGAGGAGGGTTCCGTGAAGTTGCAGAGGGGGTGGTCGGCCACAGGGCCGCCAAAGAGTGTGCAGAGGAAGGCGACGAGGCGATTGCGAGAGGCAAGGGAGAGGCTCTTGGCCGGCGAGGACGATAGAAACAACCCGCCGCTGCCCATGCTGCTGCTGCTGCTGCTGCTGCTGCTGCTGGTGGTATCATTGCTGGCGCCACCGGTCGGCCCGGCCAGGCAGTTCTCCTTCACTACGGTGTACAGCGCCCGCGCCACTGCCACCTGGCACGCCCTGATTCGCTCGTCATTGGCTGTCCCGAGGCTCTCCCAAGCGAGCAGCTGGTCTCGCTTGATTGGCGCAGCGGCAGACGCTGCAGGGCAGGGCGGGTGCAAGGAAGGGCGGGTGCAGGGAAGGGCATAGGGGAAGGCAATGTGTGAAGAAGACCGGAAGGCCGTGCGACCTTTGAGGTGAGGGGCCCCTTGCAATGCAAGTACAGAGGAGAATCTTTACATGTCAAAAACAATGTACCACGGAGAGAGGAAGGCTATAGTAGGAACAGAATCCCCTTCGCGCTTGAGCCATTGGAGGCATGAGCAGAACCTCAAATCAAACCCGTTTGATTTGAACTGCCTGAACTGGCAGGCATGATCAAACCAAACCAAACTAGTCCGGTTTGGGTGGAACCAGCCTGAACAGCTCACGGTTTAATATCCGAGTCTTCAAGGGGCAGCTCAAAGGGACTCAAGTTGAACCGTTGTGGTTCCGGTTGAACCAGTTTCGTTTGTTTGAAGTATGTAAACGACTGTGTGTCTAAGCAGCCATATGCTTACATCCCAGAAATTAGTAGGGAACAGTCGTGGCCAGCTCAAAGTATTTGCCATTAATCAGGGGCTCAATAGAGGCCCACTCAACAAAAGTCACACCGCCGAGCCGTGTCGAACGGGTGGGCGTATATTGTGGCTCAACCATCCCAGCCCGAATAGGATGGCGCACAACAAAAAGGCAACAGTCGGTTCACAATGCACCGGCGCTGAGCGCTGTGCCAGCCAGGCAGGTTTGGAGATGAGATAGGTGAAGAACGTGCAGGGCAACGAGAGCAGAACGTGCAAGGCAAAGAGAGCAGAACGTGCAAGGCAACGAGAGCAGAACGTGCAAGGCAAAGAGAGAAGAACGTGCAAGGCAAAGAGAGCAGAACGTGCAAGGCAAAGAGAGCGGAACGTGCAAGGCAAAGAGAGAAGAACGTGCAAGGCAAAGAGAGCAGAATGTGCAAGGCAAAGAGAGAAGAACGTGCAAGGCAAAGAGAGAAGAACGTGCAAGGCAAAGAGAGCCGAACGTGCAAGGCAAAGAGAGCAGAACGTGCAAGGCAAAGAGAGAAGAACGTGCAAGGCAAAGAGAGCAGAACGTGCAAGGCAAAGAGAGCAGAACGTGCAAGGCAAAGAGAGAAGAACGTGCAAAGCAACGAGAGCAGAACGTGCAAGGCAAAGAGAGCAGAACGTGCAAGGCAAAGAGAGCAGAACGTGCAAGGCAAAGAGAGAAGAACGTGCAAGGCAAAGAGAGAAGAACGTGCAAGGCAAAGAGAGCAGAACGTGCAAGGCAAAGAGAGCAGAACGTGCAAGGCAAAGAGAGAAGAACGTGCAAGGCAAAGAGAGCGGAACGTGCAAGGCAAAGAGAGCAGAACGTGCAAGGCAAAGAGAGAAGAACGTGCAAGGCAACGAGAGCAGAACGTGCAAGGCAAAGAGAGCAGAACGTGCAAGGCAAAGAGAGCAGAACATGCAAGGCAACGAGAGAAGAACGTGCAAGGCAAAGAGAGAAGAACGTGCAAGGCAAAGAGAGAAGAACGTGCAAGGCAAAGAGAGAAGAACGTGCAAGGCAAAGATAGAAGAACGTGCAAGGCAAAGAGAGCAGAACGTGCAAGGCAAAGAGAGCAGAACGTGCAAGGCAAAGAGAGAAGAACGTGCAAGGCAAAGAGAGCGGAACGTGCAAGGCAAAGAGAGCAGAACGTGCAAGGCAAAGAGAGAAGAACGTGCAAGGCAACGAGAGCAGAACGTGCAAGGCAAAGAGAGCAGAACGTGCAAGGCAAAGAGAGCAGAACGTGCAAGGCAACGAGAGAAGAACGTGCAAGGCAAAGAGAGAAGAACGTGCAAGGCAAAGAGAGAAGAACGTGCAAGGCAAAGATAGAAGAACGTGCAAGGCAAAGAGAGCAGAACGTGCAAGGCAAAGAGAGCAGAACGTGCAAGGCAAAGAGAGAAGAACGTGCAAGGCAAAGAGAGCGGAACGTGCAAGGCAAAGAGAGCAGAACGTGCAAGGCAAAGAGAGAAGAACGTGCAAGGCAACGAGGGCAGAACGTGCAAGGCAAAGAGAGCAGAACGTGCAAGGCAAAGAGAGAAGAACGTGCAAGGCAAAGAGAGCGGAACGTGCAAGGCAAAGAGAGCAGAACGTGCAAGGCAAAGAAAGAAGAACGTGCAAGGCAACGAGAGCAGAACGTGCAAGGCAAAGAGAGCAGAACGTGCAAGGCAAAGAGAGCAGAACGTGCAAGGCAAAGAGAGAAGAACGTGCAAGGCAAAGAGAGAAGAACGTGCAAAGCAACGAGAGCAGAACGTGCAAGGCAAAGAGAGCAGAACGTGCAAGGCAAAGAGAGCAGAACGTGCAAGGCAAAGAGAGAAGAACGTGCAAGGCAAAGAGAGAAGAACGTGCAAGGCAAAGAGAGCAGAACGTGCAAGGCAAAGAGAGCAGAACGTGCAAGGCAAAGAGAGAAGAACGTGCAAGGCAAAGAGAGCGGAACGTGCAAGGCAAAGAGAGCAGAACGTGCAAGGCAAAGAGAGCAGAACGTGCAAGGCAACGAGAGCAGAACGTGCAAGGCAAAGAGAGCAGAACGTGCAAGGCAAAGAGAGCAGAACGTGCAAGGCAACGAGAGAAGAACGTGCAAGGCAAAGAGAGAAGAACGTGCAAGGCTAAGAGAGAAGAACGTGCAAGGCAAAGAGAGCGGAACGTGCAAGGCAAAGAGAGCAGAACGTGCAAGGCAAAGAGAGAAGAACGTGCAAGGCAACGAGAGCAGAACGTGCAAGGCAAAGAGAGCAGAACGTGCAAGGCAAAGAGAGCAGAACGTGCAAGGCAACGAGAGAAGAATGTGCAAGGCAAAGAGAGAAGAACGTGCAAGGCAAAGAGAGAAGAACGTGCAAGGCAAAGAGAGAAGAACGTGCAAGGCAAAGAGAGCAGAACGTGCAAGGCAAAGAGAGCAGAACGTGCAAGGCAAAGAGAGCAGAACGTGCAAGGCAAAGAGAGCAGAACGTGCAAGGCAAAGAGAGCAGAACGTGCAAGGCAAAGAGAGAAGAACGTGCAAGGCAAAGAGAGCGGAACGTGCAAGGCAAAGAGAGCAGAACGTGCAAGGCAAAGAGAGCAGAACGTGCAAGGCAACGAGAGCAGAACGTGCAAGGCAAAGAGAGCAGAACGTGCAAGGCAAAGAGAGCAGAACGTGCAAGGCAACGAGAGAAGAACGTGCAAGGCAAAGAGAGAAGAACGTGCAAGGCTAAGAGAGAAGAACGTGCAAGGCAAAGAGAGCGGAACGTGCAAGGCAAAGAGAGCAGAACGTGCAAGGCAAAGAGAGAAGAACGTGCAAGGCAACGAGAGCAGAACGTGCAAGGCAAAGAGAGCAGAACGTGCAAGGCAAAGAGAGCAGAACGTGCAAGGCAACGAGAGAAGAATGTGCAAGGCAAAGAGAGAAGAACGTGCAAGGCAAAGAGAGAAGAACGTGCAAGGCAAAGAGAGAAGAACGTGCAAGGCAAAGAGAGCAGAACGTGCAAGGCAAAGAGAGCAGAACGTGCAAGGCAAAGAGAGCAGAACGTGCAAGGCAAAGAGAGCAGAACGTGCAAGGCAAAGAGAGCAGAACGTGCAAGGCAAAGAGAGAAGAACGTGCAAGGCAAAGAGAGCAGAACGTGCAACGCAAAGAGAGCAGAACGTGCAAGGCAAAGAGAGAAGAACGTGCAAGGCAAAGAGAGCAGAACGTGGAAGGCAAAGAGAGCAGAACGTGCAAGGCAAAGAGAGCAGAACATGCAAGGCAAAGAGAGCAGAACGTGCAAGGCAAAGAGAGCAGAACGTGCAAGGCAAAGAGAGAAGAACGTGCAAGGCAAAGAGAGCGGAACGTGCAAGGCAAAGAGAGCAGAACGTGCAAGGCAAAGAGAGAAGAACGTGCAAGGCAACGAGAGCAGAACGTGCAAGGCAAAGAGAGCAGAACTTGCAAGACAAAGAGAGCAGAACGTGCAAGGCAAAGAGAGAAGAACGTGCAAGGCAAAGAGAGCAGCAGGAAAAGAAGTGAAGCCTCGGGTGGGGAAGCAGCAGGCACCTGGTGGCGATGGAGGCGGAGTGGGAGGCCCCTGTGGTGGCCAGAGGCGGGTGGTGGTGGTGTTGGGAGTGGTGGCAGTGGCGGAGACGTGTGCCTCCCCCACGGCATGCTGCTGCCTTGCTGCTTCAACCGCCTCATGCTGCTGCGCCCTCGTCTCCTGCAGCTGCTGCCTCACCTGCTGGTGGTGCTGCACGTGGCAGCGGCGAGCAGCAGGGGGTGGAGAGCGGAGCGGAGTGGAGGTTGGGGGAGAGGTGGGGAGGGGGGGGAGTGGAGAGGAGAGGAAAGAGCGCAGTGGCCGAGAAGGCAGCCATCGAGTGCAAGGGAGACAAAACAAACAAGGCAAAGGGGAACGCAGGGAGGAAATACTGCAAATACAGCATGAGCATCACTGCATACAGCTGCTGAACAGGTCCCAAACGAGTGCTCCAAGAAAAACACTGAGAGAGCAACAGGCAGGTGTGTCATGTCATGTCTCGGGGCAGGCAGTGCAAAGAGTGCAGAGAGTGCAGAGAGTGCAGAGAGTGCAGAGAGTGCAGAGAGTGCAGAGAGTGCAGAGAGTGCAGAGAGTGCAGAGGGTGCAGAGAGTGCAGAGAGTGCAGAGAGTGCAGTGCGGACCTGGAGGACAGACGTCATGAGGCTCTGCTCTTTCGTGTCATCGGGAGCCAACGCAGCAAGGAGGCGGGCAGACGATGGGCCTGCTTCTGCTTCTTCGGCTGCCACTGTTGCTGTGGTTGCCTCACCAGGAACAGGATTTCCCGAAAGGATGTCTGCACATGAGGCAAGTCGTTTCTTCTCAAAAATTGACGATCAAATACGGTATCGTAGAAAACGACAGTAAAAAACATTTTTTTTTTTGTTAGGGGTATTTGGGAGGAAAAGAACCCACCGCATCACGAGAAAGGCCATGAAATAGCAGGTAAGTAAGCGTGAGTGGGGTCAGGACAGGAGGGTGGGGACAGCAGAGGGGTAGGAAGGGCAGGGGGGTAGGGAGGGCAGGAGGGTGGGGAGGGCAGAGGGGTAGGGAGGGCAGGAGGGTGGGGAGGGCAGAGGGGTAGGGAGGGCAGGAGGGTTGGCAGGGCAAGACGGTGGGGAGAGGAGGAGCGTGGGGGGGAGGGCAGGAGAGTGGGAAGGGCAGGAGGGTGGGGGGAGGGGCAGGAGGGTGGGGAGGGCGGGAGGCCGCACCAGTGCATGAGGGTGTCTGGACGAAGGGCTCGAAGAGATTGAATGCCTGTGAGGCGAGGCAGACGATAAAAGAGAGGGAAGAGAGACAGGAGAGGCAAGACAGGAGAGGCAAGACAGGAGAGGCAAGACAGGAGAGGCAAGACAGGAATGGTGAATCGCAAAAAGGAACACGACCAGGGGAACACGACCAGGGGAACAGCCAAAACTTCAACTTCTCCAGATATCTTGAAGCCAGATGCCCGCAGATCTGACATTTTCGCTGTGAGGATCTGGCACTATCATATGCGGCAGCAGAATGCATTGCGAGATTAAAACCTAGACTGTGAGAAGTGAACTAAATTTCTAGCCCTAATCTCGTTTTGTCGAACAGGTTTCTCACCAAGCGCGCGCAAAATCTGCTCGGAGCGTCGAATCCCGCGGCGTTCGAGAATGTGGCAGTGAGCAACCCAGTAAGGTTCAGTCGCACACTTACCAAACTATTCCCGGATATTCGCCAACTTCTTTCACAAAAAAATGTTTGGATTGCTTTCCGATGCTCTTGAATACATGCAGGATTCAATGATAAAAGGAACATGACAAGCAAGTGTGATTTAAGTGTACCTGGGGGCAGGAGACGTTGTCAGGTGGGAGGAAGGAAGTGCGGGGCAGCATGGCGTTGCAGGCCTGGAAGCAGCTGCCCAGAGCCAAGGAGGCCGCCCGCATGGGAGGAGCCGTAGCATCACCGCTGCTAGTGCTAGTGCTAGTGCTGCCGCTGCTGCTACTGTTGGTGCACAGCTGTGGAAGACAGAGAGTCCAAACGGCACAAGTCTGGGGCAAAAAGGGAGAGAAGACATGTGGGGATGAGATGGAGTCGGAGAGAGGATAAGGTGCAGGCAAGGAGGTCGAGTCATACGAGAGTGAGGGTGTAGCATGCAAGGAAGGACACCACCTCACAGCCAGCTCTGTGTTGTGAGGTCAGACTGCTCTGCTCTGCGCCGCTACCCATTACTCTCCCCATGTGCCACACAGCGATCCACAGATTCCACACGCTAACAGCGGCACGTCGCCTCCATGCCACTCAGCACATGCCACTCAGCAAACCCACCCGGTAATACCGGGCCCTCAGCACCTCGCTGCACTATATTGCACTGCACGCCCTCCTTTCCACTGCACCAGCCTGCCTATAACTACTCTCCATCATACCTGTCTGCACCGCTGCAGACCGCTCTCGCCATCCGCCACGCAGCCATCGATGAGCGCCAGCAGCACGTTAGCGCCCGTGCCGTTGGACGGCCGCACCCTCCCCTTCACGCCCCCCGAAGGAGACGGCGCTGCAGAGGGCGAGGAGGCAGGGGCGCCGGCGCTAGAGGGGGGAGGCGCGGGAGTGGGTGAGGAGGGCGGTGCTGCTGATGCTGCTGCTGCCGCAGCTGCGTCGAGGGAGGCTGAAGGCAGCAGTGGTCCGTCCTGGCTGGTGGTGGGCTGTGACTCGTACACGTACACGCTCACCCCGCCGTCCGGTGCAGTGAGTGAGACGAACCAGTCGTTGTCTGGCAGCTGCAGCGTGAGCGTGTGCCAGCCTGCCACCTCCGTGAACACCTGCGCACCCTCGAACCTGGTGTGTGGGGAGAGCGTGTGTGGGTAAGCAAAAGGATACTATGACGTAATCTGAAGGATAAAAAACAAATTCTCATGGACATACCACCACTTACTCACACGTGCATGCGTACCACAACATTGACTCGCTCACACACGCACACACCCTTTCACACAGAATGACTCACGCAGTGCAGGTGGCTCACCAGCAGACGTGGCGGATGGCGGCTCACCAGCAGACGTCGCGGATGGAGGTGGAGCAGAGGTTCCAGGAGGAGGCCGCCATGGCATCCGTGGATGCAAAGCGCCAGCGCAGCGCCACCGTCACCGCCGTCACGTTGCTGGCCAACCCGCAGTCCAGGGCGCACCCGAAGCGACCCACCGCTGGCACCTCCATGGGGGGCGTGCATGTGCCGTCGCCACACTGCGGGTCCGTCCATACGGCCTGAGGGAGGGAGTGGAGAAATGCGGTGGAAGCAGAGCAGGGACGCCTTTAAGCCTTCCAGGTCGATCTGCACTTAGCGCAGCGGATTGACCCGCTTGCTTGCCTGTGGTGAAGCTTTGAAGAACTCAACAGAATGAAGCCGTGAAGAATCAAATGGTTGATGCACCACCTGAATGATGCTGTCGTTGGAATCACCTAAATGATGCTGTCGTTGGAATCACCTGAATGATGCTGTCGTTGGAATCAACTGAATGATGCTGTTGTTGCAATCACCTGAATGATGCTGTCGTTGAGCCAGGTGTAGAAAGCGCTGCTGCTGGCAAAGGAGTAGCTTGCAGTCTTTGAATAGTCCTGCCGCCCTCACAGCACGCACACACACCAGCACAACCACACAACATGGGTTCGATTCGCACACAGAGAGCATCTTGCATGGGGCGGCGGTTGGAGGAGAGTTGTATGTGGCGAGAGGGGAGAGGCATGTGGCGAGAGGGGAGATGTATGTGGCGAGAGGGGAGATGTATGTGGCGAGAGGGGGGATGTATGTGGCGAGAGGGGAGATGTATGTGGCGAGAGGGGAGATGTATGTGGCGAGAGGGGAGATGTATGTGGCGAGAGGGGAGATGTATGTGGCAAGAGGGGAGATGTATGTGGCGAGAGGGGAGATGTATGTGGCGAGAGGGGAGACGCATGTGGCGAGAGGGGAGATGTATGTGGCGAGAGGGGAGATGTATGTGGCGAGAGGGGAGATGTATGTGGCGAGAGGGGAGATGTATGTGGCGAGAGGGGAGATGTATGTGGCGAGAGGGGAGATGTATGTGGCGAGAGGGGAGATGTATGTGGCGAGAGGGGAGATGTATGTGGCGAGAGGGGAGAGGCATGTGGCGAGAGGGGAGAGGCATGTGGCGAGAGGGGAGATGTATGTGGCGAGAGGGGAGATGTATGTGGCGAGAGGGGAGATGTATGTGGCGAGAGGGGAGATGTATTTGGCGAGAGGGGAGAGGCATGTGGCGAGAGGGGAGATGTATGTGTCGAGAGGGGAGATGTATGTGGCAAGAGGGGAGATGTATGTGGCGAGAGGGGAGATGTATGTGGCGAGAGGGGAGATGTATGTGGCGAGAGGGGAGATGTATGTGGCGAGAGGGGAGAGGCATGTGGCGAGAGGGGAGATGTATGTGGCGAGAGGGGAGATGTATGTGGCGAGAGGGGAGATGTATGTGGCGAGAGGGGAGAGGCATGTGGCGAGAGGGGAGAGGCATGTGGCGAGAGGGGAGATATATGTGGCGAGAGGGGACTCCCTGAACTCTCCGAACGAAGTCTTATACATCTCCGAAGAAACTCAGACAGACCCTAATCTGAAGGTAATACAAACATGTCATCACCTGCAAAGCATTCGACAAAGCATTCGAAAAAATGTTTATACTTTCACCGAAAAGCGTTTTGGCCCCTACGTTTTAAAAGCATTTGAAAATACTTCACCACAACTTTTTACAATAGGTTTCTGGTCATATGATTTTTGTCTCGGAGATGTATGTGGCGAGAGGGGAGATGTATGTGGCGAGAGGGGAGATGTATGTGGCGAGAGGGGAGATGTATGTGGCGAGAGGGGAGATGTATGTGGCGAGAGGGGAGAGGCATGTGGCGAGAGGGGAGATGTATGTGGCGAGAGGGGAGATGTATGTGGCGAGAGGGGGCAATGGCATGTGGTGGCGTGGCAATGGCATGTGGTGGCGTGGCAATGGCATGTGCCAGAGTAGCAAGCAAATGAAGTCGCATAGAGGGGGCCAGCGAGGCAGGCAGGCAGAGGAGAGGCGGCCAAAGGCATACCGGAGGCAGCAGGACGTTGTGAGCGGTGGCCACGTGGTAGCTCTGGAAGGACTGCGCCTGGTGGTGGGGACGCGTGACACACGGGTAGGAGCGAGCATGCACAATGCAGGAACTATGAGAGGTCGTGTGTTGTGAGTGGGCATGAGCATGCCGCGCTGGCACCAGGACCAGAGCCAGGGCCCGGACCAGCAGTTCCAGCAGGGCCAGGACCAGCAGTGCCAGGGCCAGCGGGGCCAGGACCAGTAGTACCAGCACCGGCAAGGTCAGGACCAGGGTCGACTGACCTTCTCACACGCCATGCCCAACCCCCGTCAAGTTAACATCCTGGCGACGCGCTGTTTCATGGCTCATCAGCGCTGACATGTGCATCCAGTGTTAGATCCGCACGCGACAGGAGGAGCACGTGCGAGGAGCAAGGAAGCAAGCAGGATCGATTGACAGCGAGCACCGATTGACAGCGAGCACCGATTGACAGCGAGCACCGATTGACAGCGAGCACCGATTGACAGCGAGCAACGATTGACAGCGAGCAACGATTGACAGCGAGCACCGATTGACAGCGACCACCGATTGACAGCGACCACCGATTGACAGCGAGCAACGATTGACAGCGAGCAACGATTGACAGCGAGCAACGATTGACAGCGAGCACCGGAGGCAGCTGAAGCAGGAGAAGAAGGCAGAGCACGAGAATTGCATTGTCGCAGAGCAT